AGTTGGGAGGGAAGACAGAAGAGGTGAGAAATAGGACAGGATAAATTTAAAGGCAGAAGGAAGAAGTGATGTTAGAAATCGATAATCGGGTATCTCTTCTTGGTAGCACAATAGGAAAAATGCCTACTGCAAGAGAGGAGATAAACATGAAGATAAAATAAAACAAATTTAACAAAATGGACATGGACTTAACATTAGAGAAAAAAAAAGATATTCAACCTGGGCAGGCCTCAGGCGAGATACAAAAAGGGTCAAATTTGCACTCCTCAGTATAGGCTTAAGATGTTCTCTTCTTAGAGATGGAATGGATGGTGGAGGGTTGAGATATGAAACTAGATAAGAAAAGTAGGTGTGGTGAGGAGGCAAGAGGGAGAAGAGATTGCTGCTGGGAATTTTGCTGATATTGGTGAATGCATATTAGATCCAAGAGGTAAGCCAATGAAGCCAGAGAGGTTTTTGGACCAGAATTACTGAGGAGACCTGAAAGAAGGCAGATGAGAAACAGAAAATGCAAAGTTGTGGTCAGAGGGAATTTCAGACGTCTAGCTCTGGGAGGTGTAATAATTCGACAAGACGAGTTTCAGGCTTGTCCATGGTGTGAAGAACTGAGCCTCTGCAGTGTTGTTTTGAATGGCGTATGAATATCTTTGACTCACACCCTGAAACCAGGGGATATTAAACCTTCGTGTATAATCATACAAATGTACGCACATCTAATTGTATATACATAATGCACATATTTAAATATTGTATGCGTATGCATTCCTATGTTCTATGTGAGTATAATATACTCCACTTTAACGTCTGTTACATCCTCCCAGTACTAGCCCAGGGACATCGTATATGCTCAATAGATATTAGTTTAATCGAACGAACATATTTAACTAACTTTTTTTTTCCTCTTGCATAGTACTAGAATCTGTTCTACTCCCTAAACCACAACAGTGAAATAATTACAGATACAAAGAGTTCAGATTTAAAGTGTGAAAAGCCAAATCTTTAAAATATGGTTTCCCAGTGGGCTGAGTGTTGTGCTTCTTAATTGTATCCTTAATCTTTGGAGTTCCATTTCTTTTACCTTTGCCAACACAGATTCTACACACCAGAGTCCTGAGGCTATGAAGCTATTCTTCTCATCTACTTTGCTTTTCCCTCCATTCACATGGGGGGCTATCACCCTCCTAAATCACACCAGCAACTGTATTTTAATGCGTGGCATGATGCCAGAAACTCACTGTGATGAACTCTAGAATCAACACTGGCAGAGAAATGTGGAAGGTTTCTAACTTCTCCCATTATTCCCAGTACTCCTATCCTAACCTATTCTTACTGAGCGACATTTTTTTCTTTGCTTTAATATAATAAATCAGCAGTCCTAAACTTTACTAATCTTCCCCAGGCATGAAAATACCACTTTCATTTAGTAGGAGCCTTTATCATAGGTATAGATAGAACTCACAGGGCTTGGGTCAGTGTGGTTAGAATGGAATGAAGGTAGGATGTTTTCAAATATCCTGATTTCCAATAATACTGGAAGCTTCCTCCCCCTTAAAAGAATGAAATCCTAGATCTAGATCAATATTAAAAGTCTAAAACTGACTAATCTGAATGTTACTAATGTCCCAAACATCTGCCAGCTTACAAAAGAATTGCCCTAGGGCCAGAGGTGGTGTGGTGGTTAAGGCATTGGACTCCCATATGGCCGACTGTTCTTCGAGTCCCAGACCAGGCAGCTTGAAACTCATGCTGGGCACATGTGTGTGTGCGCCCAGAATCCCGGAAGGAGAATGGAGGAGAAGGGATTGCAGTGGGAGTGATCTCTCACTTTCCCTCGCACTGTCTCTTTTTAATCTCTCTGGTGAGTGCCTGTGCCCTATGGCAAAAATCTTTAAAAAAAAAAAAAAGAATTGCCCCACAGGTTAAGTAGCACCTGGTAGTCAAGTGGCTCCTTAACAGTTAGTATGTGCTGGGATAACTGGTCACGCCCTTTGGAGGTGAGTAGTATAGAATATAACTCAGGTAACTGGAAGATCAATTGAACTGGCACAGAGACCAAATGACTACAGTAACTTTTTATTATACCATTAAATAAATTTGATCTTTCTAGCTGCCTATAATAACTTGCAATGCAGGAGAAACATCAATCCTCTATCTCCTACAGATACATCGTTCCTTATCCTGCCATACAAGATACTAAATTTAAAGATTCATAAACTATGCACTTATGTGACTATATTGACAATAGTCCCTGGAGAGAAGTCCTATTCCAGTGACACATGAGCTTTGAACAAGAGCAAGTGGAAGATGAAATGTGGTTTAAATGCCTCCACCCTCTGCAACCTGTCTCCCTGCTCCCTGTTCTGTCACTCTTCATGCTCTCTGCTCCCTCCCTCCTCTCTTGTTTCCTAACTTATTCCCAGGAAAAGGTATGAGAATCCTAATGCAAATTAGGTGTTTAAATGTATAAGTCCTTAATATGGCTTAATATGTCACCCTTCCTGGGATTACCTTCAGTTAAATGACAGATGAGCAGTTCAATGCTAAAGCAATAAATCTGTGTGGGAAACCAGGAGTTGGAGCAGGGTGGAGAGCAAGAAAGAAAGACCTTTCAGGAACTCAAAAATCACACTGTAGACCATCTACCATTTGTAAGGCCAGACACATTCCAGTATGACTGTCTACGTTTTACTGTTTCTCATCCATAAAGAGTTCCTTTGGCAGGAAGAAGAGTCTTTGACACCCAAAAGAAGAAAGCAAAGACTCTGCGGTAGTGTTTAGCAGCCTATTTCCCATATGGCTTTGGGCTTGGAGAGCACACACGGCCACAATACCCGGAGACACCAGATCATTCATCAGCACTGCAGTTACATCATTTACGCACACACCTGAAGCATTCCTAACACACCAAAACAGACACGCACAGGGTGTCAAGCAATGACAGGGCTTTTTGAGAAAGAGAGTGAAAAAAAGAATAAAGTGAGTTCTGGAATAGCTTTTCCAAAGGCGATTGCCCAAACTGTCTGGTTACTCTGTCCCTAGATCTTGAATAACTGAAAACCAAATAAACAAAGGAATAAAAACAAAGAAACCCTAGTTCGCAAATGTGATATGCAGGTGACCAGCACTCTGCAGAAAATTCTCCCTTGGGCAACTCCAGATGACCACGGAAGACTGGGTGGGTGATATTTACTTAACTGTATAGACGGCTCCTATTTTATCACATTACACATGCTTTTGGGCACTACTGACACCACCGACATTTAATGGAATCATTTGGGATTTTTCCCTCAATCACAACATGGCTGTGGCCAGTACAGGGGAACCCACATTAATGCTGTTTCCCAAGTTCTGGCTGAGGATACACAGTGACAAATTTTGAAACAACAAGGTCCACTGTACATGCGTCACTCTGAAGGGTGTGCACATTCTTGACTCAGGCAAATTCAAGGGTCAGATTATTGAGATTAGTGGAAATGCCGAGCTTTGAGCATTGCCACTAAAAGGAGTAATGCAGGCCCACACCCATCAGCCCACTGCTGTAATGGAAGGGAATGGCAGGGGGCATAAAAGAGAGAAAACATGGATTCTGAAGAAAATAGGAACACTGGGTGCTCCTGAGGGTATCTGTGGAGTCTCACAGTTTTGGATGGATTAAGTTTTGGTCCATAATCATCTATGATATAGGCGGAGCTTACAAAGCTAAATTCTTTCTCGTGCATTTTATTGACTTGCTTCTCTGGAATTAGGTAATACCTAGAATTTGACCATGCTCAACCTTCCTTTCTTTAAATTTTCTTAAATAGACCATGGATATCTTGCTGGGTCCCAATTCAAACATCCAGCTGAAGGAAAGTGACCAATGGGGGCCAATTGAGGGTTTCAGAAAAATTAAATTATCAGCTAACAGCTTCCAATGATGGCAGGATAGGAAAAAATGTAATGTATAACTAAGCGTGTTTGGAAATTTCATCCTGTGGTGAGAGAGAGGCTGCCACCCTCCACAAAGCCAACAGTCCAGTGAAAGAAATTCTATTTGTCTGGTTAACCCAAGGTCAGGTTATGCACACCTGGCTCGAGGCAAATAGCACCTTCCTGATGGCAGTAATGAGGACAAGGCAAATATAAAGCCACTGCTGGCGCCATCTCTCTCATACCCACCCTCCTACCTCAAAAACGAACTTCAGCAACCTTTCTAAGAGAGTCAACTAGCCACTGAGTTTTGAGTGGATCTGATAATCTTTTCTAGAAAAGCATGCGAATTTGTAAAACAGGTATCCAGTGCTACCTCTCTGTAACCAGATATCACATGCTTCAAAAAAGTACAGTTAGTGAGAATTTTCTGGATGTACTGATTTCTAAGGAGGGGGGGTAAGAAGTAGTGGGAAGAGGGTCATTGCCCAGGTACTAGGAAGAAAGATCCAGAGTGACTGAGATGACTGCTAAATATCAGAGGAGGCTTCTGGGAGACATGTCACAAGCTTAAGCTTCCTGAAACCTCTCAGCCACACTAAGAATGGGAGGTTAATTTGACCTCAATTCTGTTTTAAGCCCTTTTAGAATCTCTCCTTCCCTAGGTTCTGACAGGGAAAATATGGTATCACCAGCCTGCCTAAACGTGCAATGCTGGTAACCCCACTGTCTACCTGGAAGGGAGGGGTGAGACCTCGGGTTTGCTTAGAGTCCAGTTGGACCCTATGTGAAGCCCAAGCCAAATGTATGAACTTTCTCACGGACCAGGAGGAAGACTGGTTTGGGGGAGAGGGGCATGGACACAAATTACTTTCTTCTGGCCTTTTCACCATAGCGGCCTCCATTTGCATTCACTTTCTCCAGATACCCTGCAGGAAAAGCCAAACAAAACAATTCCCCGCATGGAAAATGAAAACCCATAACCAAACACTTTGTTCCCCCTCATTCCCTTCCCCACCCCACTCCCTCCAGCCCAACACCCTGAATACTCACAAGAGAACACTTTATCTATACAAAATTAATTAGAAAACAAAATATTTACATATGAAATAAACACCATCTTGATTTCTGTCGCCAGTGGAGACAGACAGAGCCCCCTCTGTTTCTAGATTGCTGTTCGCTAGGTTAGTTGGTTTGGTTTTTATTGTAAAGGGGTGAGGTAAGAGGAAGAGTGAGGGGATGAGCCCCTGACCCGTGGGCAGAGCCAGGGTGAAGCAATGTTTCTATGGCCCTTCTCCTTCTTCCTCCTGGAGATGCCTCACGCCCTCTTCCTCTCTCTCAAAGTCTTTCCTTGACTCTAAGGTAAAGCACTCCACGTTCCTCTCTCCAACTCTGTGAGAGGTTCAGCCCCTTGCCCCCACGTCCATCTTAGCAAGAAAACAATGCTTTACAAGGCCTTCAGTTGGCTTTAAATGAAAGATACTGAGGTAAAAATCAAGAGGAGGGTGGGGAACAGCGGCAGTCAAGGGCAGGGTGTGAGGAAGGGTCATGAGTCAGGGCAGTCGGGAAGGCAAAGAGCAGCCCTGGAGGGGTGACGTGAAGAGACATGGCAGCTTCCTTCCAGAAGAGGGTGAGCACCTTTCTGGTTTGTGTGTCCTGGGTGCAACATAGCGATCCTGCAGTCAAGCTTCCACACAGACCCAGGGCCTTCGGAGGCCACCCTGCATAAGAGGAGGATGGCAGGACCGTGGAACCAACCCACAGAAGAACACCCCTGCCCCAAGTTTCAGGACCGGCAGTGACAAATATTCATTTCCCTTCTCAGTTTTCCAACAATAAGGGAAGGGGGCGTCATGTCTGCCAGTACCCTCATCCCTGGAGTTTTAGACCTATTTGTTTTAACTCTTGAACGGCACAATCTGAAAGGAAAGGAAGTGTTGCAGGAAGGTGGAAAGGCTTCTACCAAGAGTGCTCACACCAGATTCAAGTCACATTCCCAGGGAGCCAGGCCATGGAGGCAGTTGGAGAGTCCTCCCTTCATTCCTCCCCCATTTCCAAATCTCTTCCCTTCTCTCCAGGGCTCCTGAGCTGCACTCCTGGAGGTCAGCTCTCTCCTTCTACCTGCCTATACCCTATCAGTTGTAATAAGCTCTGGGAGAACAAGCCTGCTCTTCTAGCTCCAGGTTAAGTAAGAAGGGATCAAAGCATTGAAAACATCCCCCTCTCTCACTTACCCTACCATAAATGACTCCTTTCATCTTTAAAGCCTTACCTAGGTCCTCCGTCAACCTCAGCCACTTGAGGGTCTAAAACCTCAAAAGAGCACTTTCAAAAATCCTTTGCTCTCAAGCATGGGCAACAGAATCATGGCTGCTTCTATTTCCCTTTAGCCTTCCTAGAAAGTTCTTGGCATAGGCTGGTTGAAACTATTGTCAACCACTGACAGAATGTCTTTATACCTTGCTCTCATGGGGTTGTTTACCACCTTTTTGACCTGGACCACAAGATCTTCTTCATCAAGAACTTCCATTCTTCTCATTCAGGAAGGATAAAGGGGGGAGACAGCCAAGATTCAGGTAACCCATGACCATCTCTGTTTGTATATAAGCCAAAACAAGCACATTGTTTAGAGATAATGAAATAAATAACATAGCAAGTCGAGGTAGCCCTCTCTATATTTAGAGGCACCTGACTACACGTGTGGCTATTTTTGTATGTGGACAGACACGCACATGCCATGCATCTGCCTTGCCTCCAATGTCCCATGGGACATGATCACAATGGACTTTGCTGTTTATTCAGGAATCCACTTACCCACCAATGACCTCCTATTCCAGTCCACCACCAATAAGTCTCGTAAGTTGAAGCAGATAGTTGTTTGGCTTACATATAAACACACATGGCTCTACTCTCTGCTTGGCACATGGTCCCTAGAAAGATGTTCTCTAAGCAACGATAATTTAGCAAAAGCTTGCTTTCACTCACAAGCAGTGAAATGGTCTCGCTTAGATGCTTTTGCTTTCTCACCTAAACTAAGAGATGAGTTCGGGAAAAGCTACCCCCCTTGGTCTCCTTTTGCTTCTCTCCTAGCTCCGCTCCAGGTGAATGGCAAAGAGCTCTTCCAAACTAGGAGGAAGCTCACATGCAGCACTTGCTTTCTCCACTCTACCCTCCCTTACTGAGAGGCCCATTTCATCCTCTCATGGGAACAGGAATGGCTGACAGATGGGGGAGAAGGAGGGAACTGCAAAAGGGAGGGGAGATGGTGCTGGTCACCAGGGTTGCCCTCAGTAGGAATCAGATCTCCAGGATCCCATAAAGAAATGAAAACAACAAGAAAGGAGCAAATGGGAACCAAGTTCACCCCCGTCACTCTGTGACATGCGCACCACACGGCCCACAGCCCTACTCCTCCCATACCCACCTTCACCTCTCTCTTCCCTCACTCAGACATCAGACTCAATACTAGAAAGTTTCTCATAAACATGCCCATTGCTGGAGCCATTGAAAGCCCTGGGGTTTTTGTTGTTAGGCACACAGGGGTTGGACTGGTTCCCTATACAGATGTCCTTCTGGAAACGGCCTGGCACAGCCCCATGAAGGGCCGAGACCACCGGCTTGTTGGTGACAAGGGCCCGGAAGTCTGGCCTGGCTTTCGATGCCCCTGCCACCGTGGGCTGCCTGAAGAAGTAGGATTTGCTGCCATGAAGCAAGCACTGGTCATCCCCAAACGTGGGGATGAAAGGGTTTTGCGTGACCCGGTCAGGGTAGAGCGACTTGCTGAGCATGTAGCCGCTGCCGGGGTTGTTGTGGTGGTGGTGTCCGGCAGTGGGCACTGAGGACTTGTTGTTGGCAAAGGTGCTTTCACCAGCTGGCATCTCAAACATGTGGGCGTAGGGGCTGCCATCCAGGAAACGGCCCTTGTCTTTCAGGCTCACGCTGCGCGGGGCCAAGGCGGCTTCTTCCTTCTGCAGGTCCACGAAGGTGTCGTAGGAGTGCTGCCGGCGGAGTTTGTTCCGGTTCTTCTTCTGGGCCTTGGAATTAGTCGGGCTCTGGGGATACTTGGTGGTGGAGGCGTTGGACGGCACTGCCACGGGGGCGGCCGGCTGGTCCAGCTCCTGGAGGGAGTTGTCCTCGCTGATGTCATACAGGTTGCCTGCCTTCTTGCACGCCTCACACCGGATGCACGCCTGCCTGCCCGAGTTCTGGCCTGCCACCGTCGTGGAGTAGTTGTGCAGCTTGGACGGGCAGCTGCGGCAGAAGTTGCTCCCGGACCGGTCCTCCCACTCCACATTGGTCAGGTTCTTCTCCCAAGGCGCTGGCACCCCGCTGACCACGCCGTGCTTGTCGCCTGTCCCGTGCTTGAGATGAGCCCTGTTGGCACAGGGCCCTCCTCCACTGACGGAGTCGCGCTTAAAGTCGTCGCTGCGCTCCTTGTAGATGTCGGTCAGGTCCACGTGCTCCCAGTGAGGCGAGTTCTCCTTGGTTCGGAACTGGTCCAGGTAGAAGTCCCGGAGCCCCTCCTTGTCCCTGAAGTACCGCTTGTGGTCAGGGGAGCGGGGCGGTCGGCGACGGTAGGCCAGCTCGATCTCGTCGAACTCCCGGCGGGACTTGGCCGACGCCGGCCGCTTTTTCAGGCTGTCCTTGTACTGCTGCTTCCGCCGCTTGGCCGCGTTGCCCTCGATGTTCCCGTAGGTGACCGTGTGGGTGGAGATGTCCGACACGTCCGAGCGGATCAGGTCGTCGTGGCCGCTGTAGCGGTCGCTCTTGAAGGAGAACTTGCCGTACAGGTCGCTCAGCTGGCTGTGCTTGGAGGAAGGGAGGCCAATGTCCAGGGGCTTCTTGCTGATGGAGCGCGGCTGCGTGGTGAAGGGCGGGTTGTCGCAGTCGTAGAGCCCGTCGATGGAGCTGGCGCTGCCGATGCTGTGGGGCCGGTGGTGGTGGTGGTAGTGATCCTGGTACACGTTGCTGTCCTTGAGCTGCAGGTTCCCGAACGTTCTCTCCACCTCGCTGATGTAGTCGCTGAAGAGGTTCTCCTCGCAGGGCGGGTTGTTGTAGGACTTGCAGTCGGAGTGCGTGAAGCTGCGGCGGTGCTCGGAGATGTCGTAGACGGAGGACTCGCGGCGGATGAAGTCCAGGGCGCTCTGCGGGGAGCCGTTCACACCCGACAGGTTGGCCATGTTCTTGGCGGTGCGGAGCAGGCGCAGGATGTTGGAGTGGGTGTTGTTCATGGTGGCGGTGGGGGAGTTCATCACGGATTGGCGCTCCTCGATGGCCACTCCGTGGATGCAGCTGTAGATTCCCTGAAGGAAGGACAGAATGGGGACACATTAGGTCTCGTGAGAAGCTGGAAATGACCAGAAAAAAAAAAAAAACACTGGCCCATCATTAACTGCCCAACTGGATAAGGAAAAAGTCAGGGAAAGCAGTCGGATATACAAGGCTAGAAGCTTGCTTGCTTGAGCCCCCTGAACTTAGCAAGTTGCGATCTTGAGTTAAGTGGCCTGTCCGTGGTGGGGGATGGAGGGAGGAGCAGGGGGGATGGACATAGCAATGACTTGGGCGAATAGCCTAGAATATCAAGTCATGCCCATACTACCTCAGCCACTGTTGTACCTTGATTTTTCTTTCCTATGCCCAGATTTTTGCATCTTACAAATGAAGCCATGATACATAATAGCAACCCATGGGGGGGGGGGGGGGCAAAACAAAGCACTGTAAACATCCTAGAAATAAATGGCAATGTTCTACAGATGTTGAGGTTGTTCTGCCCTGGCTGGCCATTCTTGGCTGCCAATGAAGCACAGAGGAGCTTAGAAGCTCACAATTGCCACTATTTCCCAGCTATGACAAATTTTGAGCAGCTTTTAGAATTTTGCTCACTAAATAACAGCTGAGCAATTCTCTTCTTGAGCCAAGCATGAACCAAATTCACAGAGAGAGAATTGGGAAGCCCTGGGGTCAAAGAAGGATTTTTTTCTCCTGCTGTGCCCTACACTGTGGGAGGGAAGAACTGGGACAAATATCAAGAACTAAATAGGAATAAATAGCTCCCTTGTTGAATTCTCATGTATTCTCTCTTTAGCTCCTGTTTTCCGTCTTATACTTTCTCACTAACTTAATATTATCATAAATAATTGATGTATTAACAAATTAGTATTGATTGAGAACTCCCTGTGTACAGCTCCTGTTCAGGGCTTCAGAAAAGCATTGTCCTGGAGAGAGAATGACTACGTTCACTTCTGAAGTCGAGTCAACCTATTGCTCGCCTTTTGCTCTCTACCTTAGAAGGTAGGCAAACTTAGGACTTTTCTTCCTGGCAAGGGAAGCTATTTGAAGAGGAGGAGGTTAGAATTGTACCTTTACAGCAGGGGGCGTAAATTTGTAAGGAGACATTGTCTCAGTGGATGGGGATGAGAAGAGAGATGCTTAGATGGAGCTTAACAGGAAAGAACAAAGGTTTCCATGAGGTGAGTGTCAGTGTCCTGGAGAGTATCAACAAGATCTAAGACCAACAGGGTCAGGTTACTCTACTTTCTTTCTCAGTCCTCCTTTCTAACCTTGCTTAGAGCCAGGAGAAAAAGCCAAGTATTTTTCCTCAGCAGAGGCCTTGATTAGGGCAAAGGGTAATGAAGAGGACTCACATGACAGGTCATCACCTCCCGTGGCTTCTGCTCTCACCCTATCTGAGACTTTGGGGAAGGGCCATACAATGTGGGATAACATGACCACGGACTATGATTGCAAGTCCCTTTCTCCGTCCTGATGTTACTGAATGGTCTGAATTAACTCACAGCCAGAGAGGAAATGGAGTAATTCTTCTCTATTGGTAAACTGCTACAGGAGGATGATGAAAAGATGAAACAATTTAACAAGAAAGTCATTTTCTTATATAACTCCATCTGAGTCAAAGTATGTCCTATCTGAAACCTAGACCTCAATTCTAAAAGGACATGTGAATTCACCTCTCATGAATGAGTCTCACAACTTTATTGACAAAATCGAAAGCTCACTTATTTGTTAAACTCCACCCCGTGACATTCTGTTCAGACATGCAAGTTCTTAATGTCTCATTTTGGACTAGAAATGATGAAGAGACTCGAATAAAGAATGACCTAAGAGTTAAACTCTTCCTCCAATTAAAGAGGTTTCTGAAATATAAACTTCTTATGAGTCAGGACTTATTTTTAAGGGTTCTGTTGAGCTCTTTAATTCCTCATAACCCACAGATGGTTAAAACATAGAGGACAGCAGCAAAACCACCAATAACGTTACCTCTGTATGTCAGAATAAGAGAGATGCATTACATTTCATTATTTTAATAGAAATGTGATTTTTAAAAAAGGATTAAATGATTAATATGGAATTTGGGCAAAATGCCAAGTTTTTCATTTTGCTAGATCTGCCAGTTCTTATTGAGAACCAAATGCCCAAACCCCACACAGAAAGCTGTTTCCTGAAGGAAATATCATACCACCCATTTGGGGGGCCACTTGAAGTGACAGTATACAAACTCCTGGGGAGATGTACTTGACGTGGTTTCTTGATTTAGCAATGTAAGGATGCAGTTACGGCCCTCTTGGGTCCCTGTGCTTTGCACAGTGCTAGGTTAAGCTGTCCTTAACAAGCTCTAGGCATCTAAATTGAAGCACTTACTCTGCTGATGGAGAAGACCATGCCAGGCTTGCCAGAACAGACACCCATAAAGCAATGTCGGAACTGCCAATAGAAAAGGTGTTCGCAAATGAAAGTGATAAGGCTGAGAGCCATGGCTGCTCCCAACATGTAGAAGACTCCTGCCATGTTGTCAATGTCCAGTTGGCTGCTCATGACCTCATTCTTTTCATTGTGGCAAATGCCAGTGAGCCAGAGAGCTTCCAGTTCTTCCATCTCTCCTGGAGACAGGGCAGAGAAGGAAAACAGATGAGGAGAGGTGTCAGGAAAAGGGACAGAGAGGGATGTTGGATAAGAGAGAGAAAAACATGAGACAGAAGGAGATAAGGAGACATAAAGAAAATGGATAAAGTTAACAGTAATTTTATTAATACCATTATATATTAATTTACCAGTGTATCCATTAAGTATTTGATGAAAACTTAATCTCACTAGTAAGGGTGATACAAAGATATAAGAATTGCCTCTGCTCTCCATTATGCAGCCAGTATAAATCGGTATATAAATAATCAACATGACAAGCTATATGCAGATAACATAACAAGGATTCAAATTAACGAGAGTAATTTTGTGGATGGAGTGGCCAGGGGGTTTTCATGAGGGAGGTAGGACTTGGAGGTGGACATGGTGGATGGGTGAATTTTAATTTATATTGTACAAAAAGGCACTCCAGGCAGTAAGAATGGCATGATCAATGGGAGGGAGGTGGAAAAATGTAAGGCCTGTTGAGAGAAAGGCATGCAGAACAGCTGAAACAGAAAAATAGTAGGCAAAAGAAGCTGAATAAAAAAGATTGATGCAAGAGTGCTGAGGACCTGAGTATCAGACTAAGCACTTTGCACTTTATTTTATAGACAGTGGGGAATAACATAATCAAACAAGTAATTCAGAAAATAACTCTTAGAATTGTGCAAAACAGATTGGTTAGGGGGAGCAGAGAAGAGAAAGATGAGCCGAGACTGATTGATTCCGCAGGGTCCTTCCCATTCACTGATCTCTTCTGCAGAGGAAAATATAAATAAAAAAGAGCATAGAGGTGTAAGCTTGGATAAAACAAGCTCACCAAATTCAGACCTGCCTCATTTTAGCACTGCTTTAGAAGGCTTTGATTACTTCAATTTATGTCAGATTTCAATGACTTTTATCCATTTCACTGTATACTATGAATTGACAGGCTAGAAATCCTTGGCAAAAAGAAAATGAAAGAAACTATGTGCCCTACAATGCAAATTTTTGAAAATCTAATGAAGAAAATTGTGTATTCCAATAATTCCAGTTTGATAAAAAATTTGAACTTTGTTTGCATAATCTGACCTAAGCTTTGTCAACTTTTGCAGATAATTTCTATTGCTGTTCTTCCTCATAGATACAGGCTTTGATACTGGTTTTAAATGATAGTGACACTAAAATGACAGAAACTCTCATGAGAGAATGGCTTGTTAGTATTCTAGTTGTAACCTCCTCCACTCTCCAAAGTTAACCAAATCACTTTTAGCTTATTTCTTTGATCAAACTATAATTTTTCTAACTAGTGGAACAGTCAACTTCCCCTGAAGTCTGAAAATTCACCTGCAGTCTTCTGCTTCCAATTTCATCCCTAACCACAAACATTCTGCAGACATAATTTAGAGAACCACTTGGCTGATGGAGCCAAGTAGAGTGAGGGTACTCATCCATAACTGGATTAGCTTCTGGGAGACTAACAGGAAGATTAGGTTCTTTGGACAACAAACTGAAGAGGACTGTGGAAGACTGGACTATAATAAAATAAGAGATACAAATTTTTCAAAGCAAGTTGATGCTTCTTAGTCTGCTGCTAGAATGACATTGGAGAGTGGCTTATGGTGTCCACCTCTGGGGACCCTAGCCCTACCTCCTGCCTCTTTCAACTCAAAAAACAACATGAGAGAGAGGGAAGACTACATGAATGCCCCCAAGTCTATTTATGGGCCTTTTCTTTGAGCATATAAAAAGCAGAGACTTTGCATGATTTCATCTACTGTTTTGGCCACCTGTGAGATTAGACTAGAACACCTAATGTCAGCCTCTCCTATCCCTGATTAACTGACAGCCTGCAGTCCTGAAACACATCTCATTGCCCAACTACTTTGATCTTTTCTTCCATCTTTCAACCTACTATAGGTTGAATTGTGTCCCCACAAAATTCATATGCTAAAATTCTAACCCCCGGTACCTCACTTAAGATGAAACTTTATTTATTTATTTATTTTATTTTGTTTTTATAGCAAAGTGATAACTAATTGAAAGGGAGGGGAGGACAAGTAGAGCTTCCAAGAAGAAGAAAGAGGTCCTGGAAAATGAGTTGCTGAGGAGGCACTGAGGCAGGTTTTTTTTTTTTTTTTTTTAATCTAGGTAGGAGGGGCTTTGTTCCAGCTTGTTTTCAGGTGGGACTTGCACATGTGTTCCCCTTATGATGTAACTTTATTTGGAAATAGGGTGACTGCAAATGCAATTAGCTAAGATGACATCATACTGGAGTAGGGTGAGTCCCTAATCCAATATGACTTGTGTTCTTAAGAAAAAGAGAAATTCAGACACAGACACCTATAAAGGGAAAGCATGCACACAGAACTCCATGAGAATATGAAGATAGAGATCAGGGCGATGCCTCTGCAGAAGCCAAAGAATGCCAAATACCACCAGCAAACCACCAGAAACAAGAGGGGAGGCATGAAACATGTTCTTTCTCGCAACCCCCAGAAGGAACCAATTCTGCCGACACCTTTATTGCAGATTCCTACTTTCCAGAACTGTGGGACAATAAATGTCTGTCCTTGAAGCTGCTCAGTTTGTGATATTGTGTTACGGCAGCTCTGGGAAATGAACATGTACTCCAGAATCTCAAACAGTGAAATACTTTTCTGGAAATGCATAGGTGAAAGGAATGAAAGAAGGAGGAATGGTGATGTTTCCGACTGGCCAAAGGTAGAGATCAGATGGGCACTTTCTTTGTTTGACTCACCATCTCCAAAGAGCTGCAGGATCGCAAGGTCCACCTGGCGCTTCCACCCAGAATCCTTTTGGATGGCAATGCCATAACCCGTGGAAGCAAAGACCTTCCCACTACCAATGGTCACCAACTTGCAGCCTTCATCTCTGCCTGCCATGTAGTTCAGCACTGCTGCATCATAAATGAAGGCATCCAGTTTCCTAGGCAAGAAGGAAGCAAGCAAACAGAATCCAGTGGAGGAATTTTAGAACAAAACTACCTATGAGGCCATTAATATAAAGCCGTGGGGTTCCTGCACTCTGTGGTAAGAACTGGTTCAAAGTGAGGCTCAAGTTGGAACTCTGCCAGAATCTAAAGCCTAAATCCCAGGCTGTTCTTTATGTGATTTCAGGTTGGAAGGAGGAGTTCTTTCCCTCCCACTGGGAATGATAAGAATGTACATTGGGCCTGAAGCCAACTCATAAACTGTGTCTGAAAAGAAGGAGTAAAAAGGAATCAATAAAAATAATAACAGAAATAATGAAAAGTAACCACCACAATGATAATAACAAATAGCATGGGTTGGATTTATATAACATTTTTCATTTCTCAGTTCATTACAGTCCAGAGTGGGGAAAACTATAGGTGTGTGGGTTTCAATAGACATGCCATGCTATTTTTGTGGTTGGTCAGAGAGGTTTCAGTATTTTGTTGTATGGCCCAAGGATGGAAGTGAGGTGTGGTGGTAGCATGGGTTTGTATAAGAACAAATGTGTGAAACTATAAGAGAAAGCAATATATAGAAGAACACAGGCCTTTTAAATACCTAAACATGTAAGAACCTCATTTTATGTATTGTGCTTTGCAAGAAAGGAATACAGAGGGAAGGGAGTATGAATAAGAACAAGAAGTCATGAATCAATATTTAAACCCAACATTTAAGGACATCAGAGGTCAAGGAAGAAATTCAGATAATATCAGTATATGGATATAGACATATAAAGAAATCAATACAGGCATATAGATATAGACACCGCTCATCAATGTAGATACAACTCTGTAAAAAAAGGAAAGCATGCATCATCCCCTTCACTTTTATAGTAGCTTTATAGTACCTCCCTCCCTGAGAAAAAACAAGCCCTTTCTTGCATAACACATAGAATATTTTATAAAAGTTATCCAGTCTAAAGGAGCACACTGAAAAACCAAAGATATGCTTTCTGATATGCTTGAGAAATGTGAATGTACCAGAGGTTAAACTACCCAAAGTGGTCCAATCCCTAAGCTCAAATCCCATCTTCTAAAATCTGCTGTGACTTTCTTTATAGTGATAAGGTGAGATCTTACAGTATTTTAAGAAACCACATTCCTAGGGGTCTTTCCCAGACCTGGGGCTACCGGACAATTGAGAGGAGGTCCGTATTCTGCTAGTTATCATACAACAAAGGAAATCAGCTTCAAGATCCCTTGAACCCCAAATCCAACATCTATAATGCTCGGTTGTCTTTCATTTCCCACAGGTGTGGCTTCTGGGGGCTAAATGAACAAAAGGATAGATGTGGCTGGGACTATGGAAGCAAACACACTTGTAATTCAAGAACACCATTTTTTTTTTTGAGAGAGAGTTGCCTTTTTTTTTTATTTTTAACTATAGGGTGCATCATGTGCTTGCTGGAGAGACAGAGAGAGATGGAGAGACAGAAAGTGAGAAATCATCCCCTGGAAGGGATGGCCACACTGCAATTTCTTCTCCTCCATTTTCCTCTTGAGATTTTGGGTGTGCACTCATAAGTGCCTGGAGTGTTTCAAACTGCCGAGTCTGGGACTTGAACCACAGTTGAATTAGAATGTGGGAGCCTGGCACCTTAACCACCACAATACCTGCTGGCTCTCATGAACTATAATAAATAAATATTCCCTAGAGTACAGAGCTGGATCACAAAGAATGCCAATAAAATTGGAATTGGCGATCAGTCAGCACATTCTTACTGTTCCTTATCTAACAACTTTAATACTTTTTAAATTTTATTTTTCCCATGTCCATAAAACGCCAGGACCTTTACTTTCCTCTCTTAAACAACAGGTTTTCGTTTCATATGTAATACATGAACGTTTTTCTTGACTCTTCCCTTACACTTTTATTTTTTTTTTTTTTTGAGAGAGAGAGAGATTTTTGTTATAGGGCATGTGTGCTCACCAGAGAGACAGAGAAAGATGGAGAGACAGAAATCAAGAAATCACCTTCAGGGGAATGGCTATACTGCAATCCCTTCTCCTCCGTTCTCCCCTTGAGATTTTGGGCATGCACAATGGGCACCCGATGTGAGTTTCAAGCTACTGGGTACAGGCCTCACATCACAGTCAACTACGTGGGAGTCCAGTTCCTTAACCACTATGTCACCTGCTGGCCTCCCCTTTAACTCTTCTTTTTTTTTGAGAGTTTTTTTTTTTTTTTTTTTTTTTTTGCTATAGGGCATGTATGCTCCCCAGAGAGACAGAAAGTGAAAAATCACTCCTAGGGGGTATGGCCACGCCGCAATCTTTTCTCTTCCATTCTCTTCTTGGGATCTTGGGCACATACACCCACACACCCGGCGTGACTTTTAAGCCACTGGGTCCAGGACTCAAACCACAGTCGACTACATGGGAGTCCAGTGATGTAACCATTATGTCATCTGCTGGTTCCCTGCCCCCCCGCCCCTTTCACTCTTAAAATCTCTTTCACTCCCATTTTATGGCTACATTAATACAAGTGAAAAATAATTTTAAAAAGAAAACAGAAACATATAATAGCACAGAATTGTGTAATGGACTGATTATACTATCAAATTTAAGTTGCAGTCCATAAAGAGCAAATGAAACCTTCTTTGGTTTAAATTTTTTGGCACCAAGCATGGTGTACTATTAGTACATCTGATGTAACACATTTGATAAAGGTGAAAACATATTAAGGATTCAGAACTTAGGAGCAGTTCTTACCCTGTTTTCAGGGAGAGCAATGCATCATCGACACCCCTCTGGTTGAACTTTCCCATGTATGCATGCATTTCTGCATAGTTATTGCGAATATTCCTCTCTGTGCTGCCATTGGGTACAGTCCCGAAACGGAAAGGGGGTGAGAAGTCATTAGGTCTCTGGAACTGTAGAGAGAAAAAGAGAGAGACAGAGGGAGAGAACACTTTAGAAAATGTGAAGAGACATATAATGGAAGGAACCCCACTATAATTCACCCAATACATTAGCCTCGCTCAGGAGCAGCAATTGTTATCTGAAAGTGAACTTCACTTCAAGTCAATTTCATACATATTGTTGAGAGCTTTCTATTTGCCATGCTTGACTTTAATCTATAACCTTTGTCTGTTCCTTTTATGCACACTGCACAATGCCAATGGCCATGAGCTAAAAAGAAATGTACTATTAGCTTAACTTCAGTGGACTAATCATCTTCATTTCTGAAAATTATGAACGTCTGCATCCAGGCTCCTTAATCTTGGGCCTTAAATACATTGTTACTGTACTCTAAAGACCATAGGGTCTTAATGAGGTGAGCTGCATTGCACTCCTGAAGATAATTTTTTGAGTATCATATATGTTTTACTAAGAAATTTTCTCTTGACCTTCCCCAAATGCATTCAGAGCTCTTATTTATCCTATATGAGTTGTAGGATAATTTATAAAGTCAAACACTATTTTAATTATGTTCCTCCCCTGGCTTAAGAATCAGGTGAATCTCCAGAGTTTGTCATAATAGGTAAGGCCTCTTGGATTTTCATCCCTGTGACATTATCTGTGACATTAGCTTTATTTATGGCTATACCCTACAACAAGTAAGTCTACATTGCTTTGTAACACATAATTTATCCATTCATATCTTCACAGCCTTACATAGTCCACCTCTCTAGCCCAAACTCACTTTTCTCTCTAGGCCAATTCACATTCTTAGTTTCAAAACAGAACTCAAAGCAATTTCTTCAGGAAGACTTCGGTGAATTCTTTCTTCCATCAAGTATACCCAAAAGTGACCCCTCAGTATTAGTTATTCTTGGTTTACATCATTGTATTTCACACTATGAATTCAATTACTCTAAATGTACAGGCTAAATTATGAGACTAGTGCCTGATACAGGGACTAGTAGGAGTTTAAGCTCTAGATTGGAACAGATATGAATTGAAGACCAGCTTTGCTACTTATTACTATGGGACCTTGGGTTAGTAACATAAACTTGTTGCATCATTTTCTCATTTGTGAGAAAGAGATGATAAAACCTTGATTTCAAGATTGTCCAAGATTGAAGATTAAATTATGTAATATGTAAGAAGTGCTCAGTAAAACTTCTAACACATAGTAAGTGAATGTGAGAGAGAAAGAAGCACCCTCTACAGAGTCTGGTCATCTGTGATCTCCTCCTCCACTTCTCTAGCTCATCAGATTTGAGCACTTATGAGCATGCCTGGCATGTTTCAGGTCAACTGTGCCAGGTATTTGAACTATGCTTGCCATGTGGTTTCTAGCACTACAGTTCAGTACACTACCCCTTGTGTCATCATAACTGGGCCTTCTTATACTGTTTTAAATTAATCTCTACATTCTGCATTTTTTAGTAAATGAGCAAGCTTCCCACTCTATTAGTACAATAATGATCACACAGACTACGACAACCAGGGTAGCTCTGGTGTGTCTTGAAAGACACATGAAAGAGGATGAAGATATTTAAAGTCCTCTTGGCTTGAGGCCAAGCCAAGCTTTATCATTTACTTTGGACATATATTTGAAAAATCTAACCTGTCAACTCAGGAGAATTCTAAATCTTTGGAATTGCCTTGGCTTAGAAGCCATTCTTTTCCTTCTCCAAATACAGGAATTTCATGGGCCACAAAAAATTGCAACACCAGGAACTATAAATGTCATCTTCACTGCTCAGTGTTGGCCACAGTTCAAAGGGGAGTCAAGCCGCAGTGTTAGGCAATCTGTGATGCATCAAAAGACCACCGCTTCCTGACAGAAAAAACTTCCTCTTTGACTCACCACAGTGCTTTTGCCATTAAGATTTTTGTTTGATTACTTTTAAAGAGGTTGTGATTTTTTAAAGTGAATAAAGACACTATAAAAGAATCAAAGAATTTTAGAGCTGAATGGGCCGTTGAAGCCAACTAGCCCAAACCTTTCATTTTATAAATGATGAAACTAAGGCCCAAAGAGGGTAATTTGCTCCACATCACACAGTGGCAATGTGGCTAACATTATCGGGGCTCAGTTGGCCTAATTAATAGTTACTTCTCAGTGTTCCCAGCAGACAGTAAGCTTGAAGTCAACAGAGATATGCTTTATTGGAAGAGACAGACACCAGAATGCTTTGCATACCATTGTCAAATATAATACCGCAGATGCTTAAAGAAAGGACTCCCTAAGTCAAAAGCAGAGTTTATACTAAGGCAGGTGCAATGTAACCAAATAACTACCCTTTAATCACTAATTCCCCACTTTGCTAGGACAATGACAACTAATGCTCACAAAGAGTAAGATTCTCAAAGACACAAATTATTTTCTACAACATCCATTAAGTTGTAATTGTGTCCCATACAGTCTAGTATAAATTACTGTACTCTAATTTTTCTGAAAAATGGCAATCTCCACAAAGTATGTGCAAAAATTGTTAATTATTCAAATAGAATCTAATGCCCAGAATACCTCCCTTCCTGATGAAGTGATATATATAAAGTTTCCACACTAGTCTATAATGGCAGAGGGTGAGAAATAGGGGGGGAAATATATATATATATATGCACACACACACACATATATAACATTATATACATTATGTATATTATATATATACATTATATACATTATGTATATATTATATATATAATATACATATATATGTAACAAGAAATGGAAAATTATTTATTGATTGTAACATGTATAATTAAGCCGCTATACAGTGTATTCTGGATGGGAAATTGCATTTTGTATGCTTTGATGATGTTCAGTGAATGAGTGCCAAATAAATACATAAATAAATAAATAAATAAACAAACAAAAAATAAGTTGCTTTTGAAGATGTCAGAAGAGATTTAAAAAAATAAAAACTTAAACAAAATGACCTTTAGATTTTCAGATGCTGCTTTATAACTGTATCCTTGAGTAAATAAAAATTAAAGAAATGATGAACCCAGAATAGCCATGACAACTTTGAAAACAAAGAATAAAATTGAAGGACTTATATAATACTACTTCACTTCAAGATTTACATAAAGCTACAGTAATTATGACAGTGCAGCCTTAGCACAGAGATAGAGACCATCAGAATGGAACAGACTGCCCACAATAGACCCACACACATATGATACAAAAGCAAGTCAGTCTTCTACAAATGGTATAAACGTGATTAGACAACCATATGCAAAGACCTTCATTTCACATCTAACAAGATATACAGAAATAAACTTAAATTGAATCATAAACTTGTACCTAAAATGCAAATCCTAAAATGATAAAACTTGTAGGAGAAAATCTTTGTCATCTTGACAAACATTTCTTATCTATAACACCAAAAGCATAATTCACCAAAAAATAACAATGTTAGACTTTATCAAAATGAAGAACTCTGAAAGACACAGTTAAGATCAGGAAAAGACATGCCATTGACTAGGAAAGAGTATTCAAAAATAAATTAAAGCTATTAAAAATGTAGCGAGTTAGATAATAATAGTAAGACTCACATAGTTAAAGCATCTTCCGTGAAAAAATCAGGGAAACCAACCATCGGTAATGGGATGAATGGGAATGCATAGTTCTGAGGAAAGCTCAGGGTATGGGGACAGGTTGGATGTGAATTCTAGCTCCATCTCAGGCCTGCTACATGAACAGGGGCAAGTTACTTAACATTGTAGAGCTACATTTTTCTGGAACTATTGTAATGAGTAACATAATATGTAGGCATATACTTAATACAATATCTAGATGTGATAGATTCTTAAAAATTTTAGCTACTTCTGTGGGGATAAAGTTCTAATATCTAAAATTGTCCTATGGTAAGGCAATGCTCCCTAAGATTGAAAACTCCTGTTCTTTAATTTGTTCCTTAAACTAGGCCAGCCTGGGGCCCAACAGGGAGAGCATGTTGGCCCAGAATTAGCCAAAGAAGAAACAGAAGTAAGCTTGCCTTTTCCTTTGAAAAGTCTTGTCCCAGCTTGGTAAGAGCTGTGAGGTTAAATAAAACATAGATTTTGAAAAACTGTCATTGGAACTTGAATTTCACAAAATGTCATATCCATGGAGAATGGTATGGTTTAGGGAGGCACATGGGGAAGAAAGAAAAAAAATAATCTTTCAAATACCTTGATAATTCCAATAAATGCCCTTGTAATACAATTTATCCCTAGCTGTAAGGTGTGGTATAGCACTTGTTTAAACCATGTGGCAATCGATATCCTCTAGGATTTGGGTAAGGAGTAAGATTTAACACTGTCAAGAACTAGAATATCTTAAAATCAACACAATAGGGAGGACCTTGAAAAATAGTTTTTGTTTGTTTGTTTGTTTTTGTTTTGTTTTTCAAAAGCCCAATGTACAACAAGGACCAACAATTGGATTAAAAAACCCGTGATGTGGTGGTTAAGGAGCTGAACTCTCCCACATGGCCAACAATGATTCAAGTCCCAGACCTGGTGGCTTGCTTTCTCACTTTCCCTCTCTCTCTGTCTCTATGGCCAAATTAAAAAATAAATGAATGGGGAGCCAGCAGTTAGCGTAATGTCACTGGATTCCCATGGAGTCGACCGCGGTTCGCGTCCCAGACCCGGTGGCTTAAAACTCACGCAGGGCACGTGTGCGTGCGTGCCCAAGATCCCGAGAGGAGAATGGAGGAGAAGGGATTGCGGCGTGACCATCCCCCCTGGGGGGTGATTTCTCGCTTTCTGTCTCTCTGTCTCTGTCTGTCTGGCGAGCGCACATGCCCTATAGCGAAAATCTCTCCAAAAAAATAAAATAAAAAAAAATAAAAAATAAATGAATAAATAGATAAAATTAAATAAACGATTATTTTTAAAAAACACCTCAGTCTGAATTTAGAGTAGAGAACTTTATATAGTACTTATTAATCACCTCTGGCCAACCCAGGTCTTCTGTGAACTTAGT